ATTTGCAATACCTTGGGTTGTCTACTATTGCAAATGGTATGCCATTATGGGTGTAAATTTCATTCCCGGGCTACTATACAGTCTCAAAGGCAATGTAACCAATCTGGCAAATTTCAATTTCAAATGTAACGTGCTATATTTGACCCTGTAACTTCCCAAAACGCCATAAAACCTGTACATAGGGGGTACTGTCTTACACGTGAGACTTTACTGAATATAAATATGTGTATTTTATTGCAGTAAAAGCAAACAGTATTATGACATTGATCGTTAAAATGTCATGTAGAACTAAAAAAATTTTAAAAAAACAACGTATTTTCTCCCATTTTTTTCATATTAAATTATGTTTCATAGCTAAATATTTGATATTAAATGAAAGCCCTGTTTCCCCTGAATAAAATGATATATAATAAGGGTGGGTGCATTTACTATGAAAGAGGTGTATTACGGTTGGACAGACATGTAGCGCAAATGCCAGGTTTTGTTTACATTTTGTTTTGTTCACAATGTGTACATTTGGCTCCGTCCTTAAGGGGTTAATAGCCATGTTTACACGCAGTTGTTCATAAATTAATCTGGCATTCCAGCATGTAGTTGTTTACGTTCTTGATAGTTGTGTTCTGTGGAGATGCAGCTTAAATTCAGTTATATATGAATTGTAAATAGTGTACATTAGATAAAACAGACAAAAGTTGCTATCTTGAGCATAATTTGGCTATATTGACCTACAATTTGCAATTCCCTTTCAAAGTTTTACCAATTCATAGTTTAGTGAATTATCCAGTTTGTTTGACCTTTTATTGTCAGGGAAAAGGAGACCGTTTAGGATAATTCTGGATAATATTTAATCTCCAAAAATAAAAAACTAAACCCACTGAGCATTGATAATGATATTTATTTTACTAAAAATCTGAAAAATTATCTGGTTCCCGGATGAGAACACCAGACTCGTCAGTCATTCAATAAAATGTATTGCAACACAGGCACTGGAAGAACAGATGGTGAAGCACTGAACCTAAATACACTTTTTTGTAAAAAAAATTCTGGGGTGCTTTCTACGCAGAGGCAGGGCTGACATTAGGGGGTGACATCAGGGGATGACGGTTGTCACGGGCCCGGCTGCCTGGACCCCACGTGGAGCGGCGAAACTGCCGCTGGTGCATCTGCACCAGGGCCCATCAGGTGGCCCAAGCATTTAGGGCCACCCGATGAGCCCTATATCTTCAGGGGCCCGCAAGTGCTGCTGGGAGGAAGTGACGGCCCGTCACTTCCTCCCAGCTTACTCCGCGCGGAGAGGAGAGACGAAGCATCTGCTCCCATCATCCCCAGCCACCCTCCTGCAACAAAAAGGTAAGGAAGAGGAGGGTGGCTGAGAAATGAGGTGTGTGTGTGTGTGTATATGTATGTGTCTGCATATATGTATGTCTGTTTCTCAGTATGTATGTCTCTGTGTGTGTGTGTATGTCAGTATGTATGTATGTATATATCTGTCAGTATGTGTGTATGTATGTCAGTATGCGTGTGTGTGTGTGTGTGTGTGTGTATATATCTATCAGTATGTATGTGTGTAGGTATGTCAGTATGTATGTGTTTGTGTGTGTATGTCAGTATGTATGTGTGTATGTATGTATATATCTATCACTGTGTGTGTGTGTGTATGTCAGTATGTATGTGTGTATGTATGTATATATCTATCACTGTGTGTGTGTGTGTGTATGTCAGTATGTATGTGTGTATGTATGTATATATCTATCACTATGTGTGTGTGTATGTCAGTATGTATGTGTGTATGTATGTATATATCTATCACTATGTATGTGTGTATGTCAGTATGTATGTGTGTATGTATGTATATATCTATCACTATGTATGTGTGTATGCATGTATATCTGTATGTATCTGTGTATGTATATATCTATCTGCATGCGTGTGTATGTATGTCAGTATGTATGTGTGTATGTATGTATATATCTATCACTATGTATGTGTGTATGCATGTATATCTGTATGTATCTGTGTATGTATATATCTATCTGCATGCGTGTGTATGTATGTCAGTATGTATTTATATGTATGTATGTATGTATGTATGTCAGTTTGTATGTATGTGTGTGTGTGTCAGTATGTGAGTATGTATGTCAGTGTGTGTGTGTATCTGTATCTGCTTATGCATGTGTATGTGTGTGTCTGTTTCAGTATGTGTGTGTCAGTATGCCTGTTTGTATGTGTGTATGTCTGTTTAAGTATTTGTGTCTGTTAATGCGTGTATCTTTCTGTGTGTGTGTGTGTATTCCTGTGGGTGGTATTTGGAGATGGGCACCTGGGGGCCCAGACCTTGAGCTGTTTCAGGGGCCCCATAATTTCTGATGGTGGCCCTGCGCGGAGGCGTACCTATGCTATACGACACCTGGGGCAGAAATGTATTTTGGCACACACACTCCTCTGCAAACTGAAAAAAGTTATAATTTTTTCCTCTGCACCAACACTTTTGTTAGGGAAATAGCTCTCACACCCTGACATTCATATAAATTCATATTGGGCACTAAAATGGCAGATTAAATTTAATGTAGAGAAATGCAAAGTTATGCACTTCGGAGTCAAGAATGTACAAGCAATTTACACCCTAAACGGTAGTGAATTAGAGAGAACCGGGAAGGAATTGGGAATCGTTATAGACCACAAATTAGGCAACAATATGCAATGTCAATCTGCAGTTGCTAAGGCCAGTAAGGTTTTGTCATGTATAAATAGGGGCATAAATTCTCAGGATGAAAATATAATTTTGCCTCTTTATAAATCGCTGGTAAGACCACACCTTGAATATGCTGTGCCATTTTGGGCACCTGTTCTAAAGAAGGATATCATGGCCCTAGAAAAAGTGCAGAGACGAGCTACAAAATTGATAAATGGAATGGAGCACTTTAGTTACAAAGAAAGGTTAAAAAATGTAAATCTCTTTGATTTGGAAAAACTGCGCCTCAGAGTGGATATGATAACATTATACAAATATATTTGGGCCAGTACAAACCATTATCTGGAAATCTATTTATAAACAGGGCTATACATGGGACACAAGGTCACACATTTAGGCTGGAAGAAAGGAGATTTCATCTAAGGCAGTACGAACTATAAGGATATGGAATTCTCTGCCTGAAGAGGTGGTTTTATCAGAGTCCATACAGATGTTTAAACAGCAATTGGACAAAAAAATTCCAAAAACATTGCACACAGGGATATAATTTCTAGATATTGGGGTAATAGCTGCTTGATCCAAAGAGATATGTGACTGCCATTTTGGGGTCAAGAAGGAATTCTTTCCTAGTTTGTTGCTGATTAAGAAACCACTCCTTCCTTATTCGGCTCCTCCTTTTAAAGGGATGCTATAGTGCCAGAGAAGTTTTCCTGGCACTATAGTTCCCTATTACTCGGCACTGAAGGTTAAAACTCCTTAGTCACTTACCGGAATCCAGCGCCGATGTCCCTCAGAGCTGGGTCAGGCTTCTCCTCCGCGCTTGCATTACGCTTCCCCATAGGAAAGCATTGTATCAATTCTTTCCTATCTGGGTTTAGCAGACGCTTGATGTCCTCATACACACAGTGAGGACGTCCAGCATCAGTTAGGTGACTTTTAGTCGTCTAACCACCCGGAAGGAGTTAACCCTTTTGGACCAACAGCAAAGCATATGTGAGGAAGGCTGAACTTGATGGATGCAAGTCTCTTTTAACTATGTAACCCCTCCAGGTAATTATTTCAGTTTCAGAGAAACTGCAACAATTAAACTTGCAGGGTTAAAAGGGAGTGGGTCACTGCACCCAGACTACTTCAATGAGCTGAAGTGGTCTGGGTGTCTATTTTGTCTTTTTAAGCACACACTCTGACAGGCACACTGATACACACAGACATCTCTGACACACACTCATTCGTTGACAAACACACATATGCACACTGACAGATACTCATTGAAAGAAACACAGACTCAATGACAAACAGACTCTCACTGATTTGAAACACACTGACAGATCCTCATACACACACACATACTCACTCACACTCATACACACAGACACTCATGCACTCACGGAAAAACACACTCACTAATTCTTAACATTATAAAAAAAAAATTACTCAGCCTTCCTACCTGTAGTTGGGGGTCTTGCTGTGAGGCGGGTTGCTATATTGGCATCCGAGGTGTCGAGGGAGCTGTGATCTCCCTCGCACCTCGCGGTCCGTCTACTGGAACTGGAATATGACATCAGATTCTGGCTCCTGCAGCATCAGCAAATGGCGCGCTAGGGCGCAGAGCAGGGAGATCACAACTCCCTCGCTGCCTCTGATTCTCACACAGCCTTATGCCGGGGGTCAGTGGAGGGGTCCATTAAGGTGGTCAGCAGGCCTGCCCTTGGACCCCCATGACATGGGAGACGTCCTAGTGGACGTTTGGAAGCGGCATTTTTTTAGTCTTGTTAGTGCCGCCCAAGGCAAACGCCTAGTTTGCCTTGGGCTACATACACAGCCACAGCCACACACACACACACACAGACTCATACACAGACATTCAAATGCACACACATAATGTCATCCATACAAACAAACTTTATTTAAAAAAAAACAAACATAGTATTTTTATTTTATTTTATTTCTCCTTACACTAAGGAGAAATAAGCATGCCTTCTCTTACATTGACCAGAAAAGCTGGAGTGGAACCTCATGCCTGTGGTCCAGTTGAGTGCTGATGGAACCAGTTTCTGTGCACGGATTTGCCATCTCTCTGATGCTCTGCACTGTTGCCGGGATTGGAACGACTGGGATCATATCCTGGCTCCAGCAAAAGTACAGGTTGCGCAAGTGCAGAGTGATCCCAGCAGCTCCCTCAGCATCCAAAAGACCCACAGCACAACCGTAGAGCAGGAACCTGCCATGCGGCATTCCCACAAGCAAAATGGAGGCGTGTAGGTGCCTCCTCAATTGAAGGGGGTTCACTATGCACCCACATCCCACCAGGACCACCATCCTACCCCCTTAGTATGCCACTTGCCCTGTGGCAAGAAACTTGAAAGGCAGTTCTCTATTTTGGTTGTGCAACCCACTTAAGGTGAGCTAAAATAGATTAGGTTAGAGTTCAAAGATTACAGACAAATGAAGGAGGTAAATGATTAAAAGTATATGTTATTTATACTGATTGATCACTTAGTGTTGTTTAAAGACACATTATTGCAAAAATGTTTGCGGTTAATCTTTTTTATATGCTCTGACAAACCAAGAGGCAAAGATCCGGGTAAAAAGAGACCTTAAGATACAAAACAGGGACAGAGGGATTAGGGCACAAAACCGGTCTTTCCTAAATAGATCCGAGATCCAAGAGATACATGTGTAGCTTGCTTTCATGTGCGTTGTCTTGTGCTTGTGAAATAATTTACTTTGATTCCAAGGTGCAAGCTTATAGGTGCCATATTAGATATCCTATATTAAAATTGGCTATCTTGGACTCAGGAAATGCTTAATGCTTAAAACGACACTTAAGACCATATATGTCTATGAGCAGATAGCCCCCACCTGAGCTGTCTCTCCTTAATCAGTCTGTTCTTTCTCTGAACTTATCTGTTATATGTACATGACATTCATCCCTATGTCTTATCTGTACTCCTTTCACTCCCTTCCTACTACTGTCCTATGAGTATTTGCATGTAAGCACTTACTTTTTGATGTATAAAAACACAACTGTAAAAATAAACAACAAAGGCTTATTTTGATTACCAACACGTGTCTGAATTCACGCTCCTCCAAGTGCACTTGAAATAAAAATGTGGGCTCCCTTGAAAATGACACAGATCACATTGGATCTATATCATGTAGTGATGTCCCGAACGGTTTGCCAAACGGTTCACCGCAGACTCATCATTGAGTAAACTTTGACCCTGTACCTCACATTTAGCAGACACATTCCAGCCAATCAGCAGCAGACCCTCCCACCCCCTGGACAGCTCACTAAGAATGCAGCTTCACAATGGATGCTGTCCAGGAGGTGGGAGGGTCTGGGAGGGAGGGTCTGCTGCTGATTGGCTGGAATGTGTCTGCTGACTGTGAGGTACAGGGTCAAAGTTTACTCAATGATGAGTCCGTGGCGAACCGTTCGGGACATCCCTAATATCATGCTTTACTTATGTGATTTGCTTGGCATTTAAAGTTAATTTGAAATATTAGGCCAAATAGCCCAATTGTAAAATTTCCCCAAGTCAGCTATGTTTTCAGACTAGCTATTTGGTCCTATACCTTTCTTCTAGGTCATACGAGTCAAACAAATGGAGAAACAAAGTACACAACTGGCAGTGTCAGGTATTCAGAGGCTAAAGAGAGACTGGGAGATGGGGAATAGATTTAAGGCAAGGCAGAGGGGGAAGGAAAAATACAACTACACAGGAGATGATGTGTCCAAGATACAGAGACAAAAAAGACAGAGATCAAAGAGGTGGGGACACGTGACCTCAATGCAAATTACACTCTAATCTAAAAATCTGAGCGTCGGCCGCACACACAATCTTTGAAGAGAGGTGACGTTATACTTTTTTTTTTTTTTTAACCCACCTGATCAGACAGTTTTAAAACATTGGAAACAACCTTCTATTATTTATAGGATATAAGATAACAGTGCCTTCATTTATTTGTATAGTAACCGTCAATAGGAGACCTTGCCTCAAACAAACATGGGGCATTGTGATGCTCATGACAAGTTATTATTGTCTGCTTGTGGGATTAGACTGAATATAAATTTGCTGTTGCACATTTTTTTTTTTCTTCTTACCGTTAACCTTCATATCATCAGGAGGTCACAGTTCCTAAAGGATTTGGAGAAACATGGGTTTATGCCAGGACATCATCCCTTTTTGGCAGAGGACACCAGTTGTCCTACGGCCTTTCATGAGAATTCCTGTCCAAATAGAACCCTGGGTGTGTATCAAATCAAAATCTAAATCTGTACTTTTTGGCTCCATGAACATGAAAGGGCTGTAGTTCCCATCTCTTTTTGGACCAGTGGGCACTTCAATGACAGAAGATTCTTCAAGGCAATCCAGTTTTATTTTCTTAACCTTCAGCAGCAATGTATGAATGTCCCATTTGGTTGAAACCTTAGCCGAGCGGTGTGACGAAAGTAACCTCGTCACTGAATTTTGAAGGGGCCTGCTGGCCAGCCTCTTGCCTCAGGACTATGAGCCCTGCAATATACCTTGTCCAATGCACTTTAAAAGGCGTTGTTCATGTGAAGTATGTACTTTTGTACTCCAGACAGAGAGACCGACCGTTGGTACTAATTCTCTGGAACTGTTTTGGGCATGGGACCATGTGCACAGTGAGTCAAAAATAAGACTTCAATTTTTGGATATGTTGGTCACCCAGATCAGGGCTATCAGGGGATGTAACATTTGTGAGGTTTTATGTAATTTTTAGGGTACTTTTGGGGTGTTTTAAAAAAGTGTGTTTTTCTGTGCTTGGAGATAATTGGATTAGAATTAGTACAGTTACTGATCCAATTATCTCCCAAACAGAGGGGAGGGATTGTGTGCTATGTGTGGGAGTGTCATGCATTTTAACTCTGTTATTGGTTTACAAGTTTGTGTCACAGTCCCCAACAAGGTCCACGTGGGTGTCACCTTTGCATGGGTACTTGTATAAAAGGTCAGCTGTGGCTTCCATTAAACAGAATGCTTTACCCCTTCATGAAGCCTTGGCTCATGTTTGGGGGATTAGAGAACTACATTCACTCTGGGGATTGCTTTAATCACATTGCACCTGAGTATCGGGGTGCAAGTCGGTCCGTCACAAGCGGTATGTGTACTTCTAGCCTAAATTGACCTACTCTCAGCGAAATCAGCATTGTTTGCAAGAAGGGAATCCCAATTTTAAAGGAGATACATATTAAATAAACAGAAATAGAAGGACAAAAAAGACAGAGATCAAAGAGGTGGGGACACGTGACCTCAATGCAAATTACACTCTAATCTAAAAATCTGAGCGTCGGCCGCACACACAATCTTTGAAGAGAGGTGACGTTATACTTTTTTTTTTTTTTTTTAACCCACCTGATCAGACAGTTTTAAAACATTGGAAACAACCTTCTATTATTTATAGGATATAAGATAACAGAGCCTTCATTTATTTGTATAGTAACCGTCAATAGGAGACCTTGCCTCAAACAAACATGGGGCATTGTGATGCTCATGACAAGTTATTATTGTCTGCTTGTGGGATTAGACTGAATATAAATTTGCTGTTGCACATTTTTTTTTTTCTTCTTACCGTTAACCTTCATATCATCAGGAGGTCACAGTTCCTAAAGGATTTGGAGAAACATGGGTTTATGCCAGGACATCATCCCTTTTTGGCAGAGGACACCAGTTGTCCTACGGCCTTTCATGAGAATTCCTGTCCAAATAGAACCCTGGGTGTGTATCAAATCAAAATCTAAATCTGTACTTTTTGGCTCCATGAACATGAAAGGGCTGTAGTTCCCATCTCTTTTTGGACCAGTGGGCACTTCAATGACAGAAGATTCTTCAAGGCAATCCAGTTTTATTTTCTTAACCTTCAGCAGCAATGTATGAATGTCCCATTTGGTTGAAACCTTAGCCGAGCGGTGTGACGAAAGTAACCTCGTCACTGAATTTTGAAGGGGCCTGCTGGCCAGCCTCTTGCCTCAGGACTATGAGCCCTGCAATATACCTTGTCCAATGCACTTTAAAAGGCGTTGTTCATGTGAAGTATGTACTTTTGTACTCCAGACAGAGAGACCGACCGTTGGTACTAATTCTCTGGAACTGTTTTGGGCATGGGACCATGTGCACAGTGAGTCAAAAATAAGACTTCAATTTTTGGATATGTTGGTCACCCAGATCAGGGCTATCAGGGGATGTAACATTTGTGAGGTTTTATGTAATTTTTAGGGTACTTTTGGGGTGTTTTAAAAAAGTGTGTTTTTCTGTGCTTGGAGATAATTGGATTAGAATTAGTACAGTTACTGATCCAATTATCTCCCAAACAGAGGGGAGGGATTGTGTGCTATGTGTGGGAGTGTCATGCATTTTAACTCTGTTATTGGTTTACAAGTTTGTGTCACAGTCCCCAACAAGGTCCACGTGGGTGTCACCTTTGCATGGGTACTTGTATAAAAGGTCAGCTGTGGCTTCCATTAAACAGAATGCTTTACCCCTTCATGAAGCCTTGGCTCATGTTTGGGGGATTAGAGAACTACATTCACTCTGGGGATTGCTTTAATCACATTGCACCTGAGTATCGGGGTGCAAGTCGGTCCGTCACAAGCGGTATGTGTACTTCTAGCCTAAATTGACCTACTCTCAGCGAAATCAGCATTGTTTGCAAGAAGGGAATCCCAATTTTAAAGGAGATACATATTAAATAAACAGAAATAGAAGGATTGTATCCGGTTTATGACTGTATTCCTCTGGAATAGGGAGGAGGTGGTATAAATGAGGTAATGGTGAGATGAGTTGTTCTTTTGATAGAATACAAAATCAGTATGGTAGCTAGGAAGCAAAAACTTAGGTTTGGAAAGTGAAAAGGACATTCTGAGCACCATAACCATTTCATGCAGACTACCAGCAGCACCAAATCTGAAGCTTCCTGATTGAAGCCTCACAATCAAAGAGAAGTGGAGGCGCAGGGCTGATGGGTGCTTGACTGAAGACTGTCGAGTTAAACTATTTGCTAATGATTTAACACCTGAAGGTAAGCCAGTGCCCTCAACCTCCTTGCTCCATAACAGCTTTATTCAATTAAGTTGTTATGGTGCCTGGAAGGTTCCTTTAAGTGAAAGTTTCGTAAGATGAGTGTTGTGAATATATTTTTAGATCCCTGGAAAAATGTGACTTTATGAATGTGACTGAGATTAAGCAAGGTGCTTCGAAACTTGGACTTTGCTTAGAGGAAGTTATGAATGTGAGTGTTTTTTTGAAGGTTCAAGCAGGAAGTTGACTAAGGGGAAAAAAAAAAATCAACCACTTAACTTCCAGAGGAGAAATATTAGGAAAGAGAGTGTTCTTTTTACAAGCGTTATTTAAGGCCAGAACAGGTTAATAAATTCACACTATAAGGACAAATGTGTGCGTTCCATTTTAATTGGTTAAACACAATCAAGATTCTAGCACAGTTAAAGAAGACATTTAACTAAAAAACTAACATAGTGACACAAGATAATACACAATTACAAATTAACTGAATAAGACTAGCCTTTTTATTTGCAGTGAAAGAAGACGTACATTGAACGGAGTATGCAAGGTTGTGTACACAGTGCATCATTCAGAAAGAATGTTTTTTTTAACATGTACAATAATCATATATCAAAGGAACAATAATGAAAAGTGTTACAAGGTAGTCTGTTCAGAGTTATTCGCCAAGAGGAATTCAAAGTGGATTTAAAATTTAAGCTGAAAATACCCAAACTGGGAAAATGTGCTCCGTAAGCAAATAAACTCAATCACTCAATACACATCTAATACAATGAGGGAGTTGCTAAATATCCATGCTTTCAGTGACATATTTTTGTCATTCATTCCCCGACTAGCATCTTGTACAGCCAAATCAGCATTAAAAAGATTTCGGTTATTTTGTAGTAATTCAAGGATATATGTTTGATGTCAGATTATCTAAATCCTCGTCTGCTAAATTGGAAACCTTCACTGGAATGAAATCTTACTTGCTTCGGGCTGCACTGCCATTTTGGTCCAATGTCTTGGGTTCCCGAACTGGGAAAAGGCTGTTTTCTTAGTTTTGTGTGCCATTTTTGGCAGGAAAGTAAGAAAATCTATAAGACCGAGCTTGTGGAGCATGCTTGCGTCACTAGTTCCTTACAAGAGGTAAATGTATAACTCTTAACTGACTCGCAGTTCTCCCTTTGTCCTCTTGTCCTCTACAGGGAAATTGATTTTTGTTCATCAGATAATGCTTATCTCTTGTGACAGCAATATTTAAATAAAAAATAAACCAATGGACAAGATTTTTTTTCTTTTTTTTTTTATATAGTGTATTTATAGCTTTCCATGTATCCTTTGTTTCTGGCCACCGTGTTTTTAATTGCTTCGTAAAAGATGTTAAAGAAATACCATGCACCATAACAACTGCAGCCCACTATAGTGCCAGGAATGCCCTAGTTACTGAGCACGGTAAATTGTAAAAACAGTTTTTTAGAATGATTTGACAACTTTGGATCCTAAATGCTTGCAGCATGAGTCCGATGTAAAAGCAGAGTAAAGCCTGGCCGATTCAGGACTCCGCTTATTGGCTGAGAGTGCTCAGCTGAATCTCTCCGCCAAAGAGCATAGCCCTGTTTTAGCTCTGGAGGAGACCGGAAGCCAGTCACAGCCCCCCATTGCTGCTCAGAGTAATGCTTCCTCATTGGCCCAAATTCATAAGACAAAAAATCAAGGAAGCGCAGCTAGAAGCTAAATGTGTGCACACCGTTTTACGTAAAATTTATTGAAGGACCAAACAACTAATGTTTCGTGTTTCCCCTTTATCAGTGGACATTTCATTTATCACTGATAAAGGGGAAACCTGAAATGTTTATTTGGTCCTTCAATAAATTGAATATTATTTATTTATAAAATATTTTACCAGGAAAGATACATTGAGATTTCTCTTGTTTTCAAGTATGTCGTGGGTCCACAAATCATTGCATTGTTACATTAGGGTACAACAAAATACAAAAACAATATTAATACACAATATATACAAAATTTAACATAGAACAGGCAGGAAATATATAATCAACCATGACACGTTCATTCTGTTTTGAGGTATGTAGAGAGGGATCTCTTAAATGACTTTAGACTTAGGGAAGATTTTAAATTGTGCGGGAGGTCGTTCCACAATTGCGGCGCTCTATAGGAGAAGGCGGATCGGGCCGCTTTCTTTTTGTATTGAGGTAGACTAAGTAAAGTGTGGGTACTGGATCGGAGCTTATAGAAAGTGGGAACAGCTGGGGAAAGCATTTTGTTCAGGTAGGGTGGGAGTTTCCCAGAAAAGCTCTTAAAAACAAGGCTGGAAAGATGAAGGGTGCATCTGGATTCCAGCGATAGCCAGTTTATTTATTTATTTATTTATTTATTTATTTATTTATTATACCTTATGCATTCTGATTTTATTCTGCTTTGAAAACCTACTAGGTCAGCAGCACCTATTCACCTTACTCAGTTTGTATGTTTGTGTTTTTGGGTACTGCAGTAACCCCTCATCCAGTGGCGTACCTACCACAATCGCAGGGGTTGCAACTGCGACGGGGCCCCTCACTCCTGCAGCCACGACCCTTGCGACCATGGGCAGCCTGGATACCTTCTGGGCCGGTGCACAGGGTGTCTGGCAGGAGGGGAGAGCTGTGCTGCTCCCCTCCTGCCTATGTGTATCATGGCCAAGCGGTCTGTCAGGAAGTGCTCACTAAGAGAGCACTTCTGTCAGACCGGGATGCAGCCCCTAGTTTTCCTCCTGTCATTGGGGGGCCCAAGAGGTGGCCTCCTGGCCACCTAATGGACCCCCCGATGGGCAGCTGTGTTCCCAGCAGAGGCGCGAGGGAACTGTGATCTTCTTGCTCTGCTCCCTTGCACGTCGTTTGCTGATGTCGGGAACCGAAATATGGCGTCATATTCTTGCTCCCAGCATCAGACTGCCTGCGTGGCATGAGGGAGCAAAGCAGGGAGATCACAGCTCCCTCGCCATCTCTGCTGGGAACACAGCCACCCGCCTCACTTAAGCACCACTGGACCACAGAGACAGATCCACGCCAGCTCTCCAGGTAGGGTTGCGTGGACAATTTTTTAAATTTAAAAAATGAGGTGTGTGTGTGTGCGACATATGGGGTGGGAGGTAGACGTATGGAGGGCCACTGGTCAATTTTTGCACTGAGCCCTGTGGTTTCTAGTTACGCCTCTGCCCTCATCTATCTATATGTGTTCTGCTTAGCCCAAGCAGCACATAGGGGATGGGTTGCTGGGAACTCTTGTTCAGTATTAAAAAATGGTTTAATGCAGAATGGAAAGAGGGTGACAGGGGACTCCAGACACTATAACCACTTCAATTAGATTAAACAGTTAAAGTGTCCTTTTAAGACAGGAGGATGGTTAACACATTTTGAAGGGCTAGTCTATGACAGGAATAAATAAATAAAAATTTTGTATAAAAAAAAAAAAAGAATTAACACTAACTCTGTCCCTTATCTCCTTAACATGCTGAATTGTCAATACAATAATAAATAAATTGCAAATCAGCAGTCTTAATCCATTAGGTATAACGGCTATAAAGTCCAGAGTCTACACTTGTTGTCTGTAAATTCCCTACCAAAAGTATAAACCATACGTGCACTAATATTTTATATAAAAGGAGCATAGTGTAATTTATAAAACTGAAGTAAGAGAGCACTTTAAAGGGACACTCCACTGCTCAAATACAAAATAAAAAACACTGTTTAGTAGATATACCATTGAATGCATTTAATTTTTATTTTATTTTTTTTTTCATTGGGGATATATCTAAAAACAACTTGCAAAAACTGCAGATCTTGTGTGCTGCCTTTGCATGCCCTCCTTTTCTCACTCCGCCCAGGCTTTCTGTGACTGTCCTATCACAGAATTCCCAATGCAGCTCAATGAGAAGTCAGGTAGGTGCTCTGAGCAATTGTTGCCTCTTGAGTTAAGTTCAACTAACTAAACTAGGAAGTAACAGGACCTATTGTCTGCTTAAAAAGCTAGGGGGATATAATCAGGTTCATTTCGAAATCTGCCCTTTTAATTTAAAAAAAAAAAGTAGGACACAGACCTAACACACAAAGGTTTTCAGCAAGCTAAAGTGCTTTAAGAGTCTGGAGTGTCCCTTTAATAATTAAGTAACGGTTCGTTTATGGTGAATTATGTTAGGACCATCCAATATCTGGTAATTTTTATGTAGTGATCGGCTTAACCCAGCATGTCCAAGCATTGCGACAAAAACCCTATATTTTCATAGAGACGGAAAATTCTATTGAAGACCCTAAATGTTTAATCTAAACAACTGTTTTATTCACTGGCGCCATCATCATTTGCGGCCAACCGTCAGGGCCACATGTTAAGTTGCCCATCGGGTGGCCCATGCTGTCAGGACCACCCGATGGAGATGGATTGTCAGGGGGCCCGGTCAGAGCTGGGCACTTTAACAGCACGACCGAGCCCACTGTGATGAGATCACAACCTGGGAGGAAGTGACTGCCTGTCAATCCTCCCAGCTATCACTGAGAGCCCACGCGGGAGGAAGCAGAGGGAGTCTGAGTGGGATTTCTGACTCCATCAACCTGAGCCACCACTGGACCCCTAGGAAAGTCACCCTCCTGCACCTAAAAGTCAGGAAACAGGAGGGTGACTTAAATATTGTGTGTTTGTATGTATGTGTCTGTGTCTATCTGTATGTATGTGTGCCTGTGTGTGTGTTTCTGTCTGTATGTATGCGTGTGTGTCTGTATGTCTGTCTGTATGTATATGTGTCTCTGTGTGTATGTGTGTTTCTGTTTGTATGTGTCTTTATATGTATGTGATGTTTCTGTATGTATCTGTGTGTGTGTCTCTGTATGTGTCATGTGTGTCGGTTAGAGGGGGAAGGAGGGCCCATGGATTATGTGTACGCCACTGGTTTCATTATTTTTTTTAAATGCTGACACTTGCTAGTACTTTGAGATACAAATGGTCACCAACAGAGCGTTTTGTGTAAAGTAAACATTGTATAACTTGGTACATTGCATCACGTCAAATACAGGCTCAGCGCTTGTGAAAGATGAAATTTCCTAAGAATCTCGTAACTATTCAGTTTAGCCACTAAGGAAAAGGTTGGGGTTTGGGGAGTCATTCGGCACGTGGAGTTTGGGGGGTGGTCATTCAGCCAAACCTCGGTAATACCTGAGGATTCCATCATTTCAATAAAGTGAAAGCGTTCATTTTGTGTTTGTATTTGATGCCAGTTTCCATAATTTTATATCTAATTGAGGTCATTTCAGCTGCGCCATTATCAAATGCATGTTATGGGTGTGCCCCCCCAATTCCCATTTTTCTCTATGTAGGAGGAAGGAACCTGTTAGACTTGTATAGGCATATGTATATTTTTCTTGTTGTAGTTGTGTAACTTTGTGCTACCAGTAAGGAAGTGGAAATAATTTTTTTAACAGTCACATGAGTTGTTCCAAATAAATAAAATGGAAAAAGGTGAAAACTGGAATTTTGCCGCAAGCATCTGAACAACACCAAAATATTCACTCTATTGGGTAGGGGATTTTTTGCATTTTATATTTTTTGAAAGTTGAAAAAATTTAAAAGCAGAAAAATATTTCTCGTGTCCATAATAGTCAATCTCAGGGGCACTACCAGGTTACAGAAAAACCTGGGGCTTGAACCCAAAGTAAAAGTTGATAACCCCTACTCTGACAGACAGATGGGGGTAGGTCCTGATATATCCCTTTTGCATATTTCATTCCTCCTCCTATCTACAAAATGGCCAGCAAGCTTCTTATACACTTCAGGATACCAATGAAAGCATAGCCAAAAAAAAGCCCTTGCTGTACAGCCAAGTATTTAATTAAATCCCGCTACGCTACCTATCTGGTAGAGGGGCATGCGGCAAAGATGTGTTCCTAAGCACCCACTCCCGACCGAGACCTTGCAGTGAGCTTATACTAGTTTCCTTTCTTTTTATATTAGACCGCTGTTTGAGTAAAAGTCATAATTTATAATAACCAAAATGCCATGATGCTCCTGCCCATTCCACTACCAGCAGAGATCTGGGACCGAAGAGTAGCACACTCAAGGCTTCAGCCCTCAAAGCCTCGCCCCAGGAACTCCTGTTATTTCTCGGATAGCATAGTTATGGTAGCAGAAGGCCCTGTGTGTTGTCCCAGGGTGAATAGTCAAACTGTTTGACATTTGTCTGGATCATATAAATAGATTCTATAGTGCCAAGAAAACAAACCCTTTTCCTGACACTATAGGCTCTTGCAGTGACGCCTTCCCTCGCGCCCCCCTACTTCATTCAGTTACCTGAGTCCGACCGATGTCCTTCGACTCTGGGTCTGGCTCCACCAACGCTGCTCCCCTGCCGACGTCGGCCAGTGGAGCAGACCTAATGTGCATGCACGGCAATGGCGGCACTTATATTAGGATTTCCCCATAGGAAAACATTATTCAATACTTTCCTATGGGGAAAAATCTGACGCTGGAGGTCCTCATGCAGAGCGTCAGGACGTCCAGCATCAGATAGCAAACCAAAGGTCCGTTTCGATACCGGAAGTCCCTCTAGTGGCAGTCTGGTAGACGGCAACTAGAGTAGGAGTTAACCCTCAGAGATAATTATTGCAGTTTCTCTGAAACTGCAATAATTACCACTGTAGGGGTTAAGGGACATGGGACATTGCACCCAGACCACTTCAATGAGCTGAAGTGGTCTGGGTTCCTACAGTGTCCCTTTAAGTGCCTGCAGACTACTGAAATTTCTAAGCAGACGTTCCCACTTCTGCATCAGTGACATCAATCCCTAATCAATCACAAAAGACTGGCGAAATTGATGTCATTAATGAAGAAGTGGGAACTTCCATATTCGTGATAATATAAGAATGTGATAGACTGCGGGCAAAGATCAGACTGTTTGAAAATGGTTAGAGTACGTACAGTGGGATAGAGCTTGGTGTCTCTTCATTCCATAGCCTCCACAGTATGATGTAGTGGTTATGGTACCTAAAATGTCCTTTTTTTGCTGTGATAGGCGTTGTAATTGGATTGTGTTTAAGTTGCATCCATTGCGTGTGCCCAGACATGCTCATGTGCAGAAAAGTAGCTTTCCTTTAACGTAGCATGTTTATTCTGATTTCTGGTGACTACGAAAATCCGTGATCTGGCAGCTTTTGACGTACAAATCCTGCACAGGATTCTCTGAAACAAGACAGCAAATTATTAATAAGAATGTAGGGATTTACTATTCTTTTAAAATTGAGGCACTGAAATTAAAAACTGAATCTTTGTGTAAAACTCTTACCTTATAGTACTTATCCCATGTTATAGATGAGGTCTACTTTATTGCGCTTCTTTGTTATAAGGTGATCAAAAAAAAGCTTTAGTAGATTTTTTATCCATTCTAATTGGCCTATTGTGAGTTAACCTGGTAATGTAAGCGGCAAGATAACCCCAATATCACTTTATACTTGTGAACATGTGGGATACATTTTTTAAGACTTGTGCATGGTGAGAAATTTTGGTTATGCCACATCAATTTTTTTTTTTCCCCCCCAAAGGTAGAACGTTTTTGGGTACAACCAAAATACATTGGGATATTGATTCAGCTCAGTCAAATGTTGCCTTGGGAACCAAAATAAGACTGCAACACCACCCCTCCATGAAAAAGTAGAAAGATGTGTTCAGAGAAAATAAATGACTTATGACTTGAAGGAATGACTTTAAGTTTGCATGTTATTTAAAACATTTAGATGAATGTGATGATACCCCGGGCAGCATAGGTAGATGAACGTGTCCTATGCCTCCAGGTGTTAATTTGGTTCAGTAGAATAGAAACCGAATCTATAAGGGAGCCTCTCTATTTGTACATTACACCTGTAATAAGGATAATGCTTATAAAAGAGCAGTCACGATCTCTCATGAAACTTACATTATTCCATTTCTTTTCAAATATATTTTTTTTATTAAGATTTTTTTCAAAATATTCTACAAATAACAATAAACTTTAAACGAAAATAAAACATAAAAGGGGGAATAATATCAATAAAAAAAATTATTATTAAAAAAAGTGAGGGAAAATTTTTCATCCATTAATATATTATCGAACAATAAAAATTACGTTGCTAAATTAAAAACTTATACATATTAATCTGTAATAAGGTGTACCTACATTAAATCAATTACATAGTTATTATTGGCCATTTTGGTATTGTGGGACATTATTTATATTTTTCATTTAGATTAGACACATTACCGTAAATATGTGTCGTGAGCTAATCAACAGCTGAATAGATACAGGAAACCGTGTAGCAATTAGTCTTGTTACTGAAGTGCACCACCCTTAACATGAAGGGATTAAGAAGACATGTAGAATAAACCTATAGAGTGCTTGGTTTATTTAGATGGGTTTTGAAGTACAGAAAAATAAACGACATCTCAGTAGCCTGTGACCGATATTAACATTTGGGTTCCACTAGTTTTCATAAGTGACATATGAGACATAAACAGGTTTTGTTTGTGAGCAAATTGCTTATTTTTAGACTATGTTTAGATAGTTGTTTTTCTACCTGCAGGTCTGGTAAAATAAATAAGTATACAGAGGAATCTAACCACATACCAATATATATTTTTTAACTGTGGCCAGGTTTGTATTTGACTTTGTCTTCATGCTTAAAGGACCACTATAGTGCCAGGAAAACATACTCGTTTTCCTGGCACTATAGTGCCCTGAGGGTGCCCCCACCCTCAGGGACCCCCTCCCGCCCGGCTCTGGAAAGGGGAAAGGGGTTAAAACTTACCATTTTTCCAGCGCTGGGTGGGGAGCTGTTTAGCGATATATATATTAAAAAGGAAAAACCCACAATTAAATTTTTTTTTTATGTATTTGTCGATCTTTCCAAAAATATTGCCAGAATAATTTTGAATATTATATGGTATTGTACAGAACACTGGTGAGACCTCACTTGGAGTATTGTACGCAGTACTGGAGACCGTATCTCCAGAAGTATATTGATACATTAGAGAGAGTTTAGAGAAGGGCTACTAAACTGGTTCATGGATTGCAGGATAAAACTTACCAGGAAAGGTTAAAGGATCTTAACATGTATAGCTTGGAGGAAAGACGAGACAGGGGGATATGACAGAAACATTTAAATATATAAAGGAAATCAACACAGTAAAGGAGGAGACTATATTTAAAAGAAGAAAAACTACCACAACAAGAGGACATAGTCTTAAATTAGAGGGACAAAGGTTTAAAAATAATATCAGGAAGTATTACTTACTGAGAGGGTAGTGGATGCATGGAATAGCCTTCCAGCTGAAGTGGTAAAGGTTAACACAGTGAAGGAGTTTAAGCATGCGTGGGATAGGCATAAGGCTATCCTAGCTATAAGATAAGGCCAGGGACTAATGAAAGTATTTAGAAAATTGGGCAGACTAGATGGGCCGAATGGTTCTTATCTGCCATCACATTCTATGTTTATATGGTATCCTTGGTCTGGAAGTATTTCAGACAGGGTAGAAATACATTTTTTTTAATTTTTTTTTTTTTGTCACACACCGGTAACAAATCACAAAAAAAATTTTTTCCTGCTTGAGGGTACTAGTGAGTGGAATTATGTAATCTGTAGCACTGTAACTTCATACAACGACAACAGAATCTAAAAGAAAAGGTCTGTACATGAACATAATGCCCATATACAGAAGAAGACGCAAGGGTGAAAGAGTCCAGAAGACTTTACAAATAACCCATGTGCTATACTGATTGACATTGAGCTCTCCCGCTCTATAATTTTTAGAATGTATAAATAAATGTTCTAATTAAAATCGGCATTCTATGTGGGAGGAGGAAAAAGTGGTCTTGCAGTCATTTTATATTTAAACAAATTCTCACGTTGGAGAAAAAAAAACGGGTTAATGATGTAATAAAAAGAGTGGGAGAAGGGTCAGCGCTAGTATAAATAGAATATAGGCAGCGGCCCAACAAAGGGTAACCCTCAAACCCCCTAAAGATAAAACATGTGACACAAAAAACAGAAGAAGGGTTGCGCCAAGAGGTAGGTATTAATAATAAAAGTAGTAATAAAAGTATATACAATAGTCCTAAGACCATATAATTAGTATAGTCTCACTAACTCAGTGGGACTAAAGTTCTAATAAAATCATCAAAAAGATTAAATAAAAGCCAAAAACAAAGTCTCACACAGAGATAAATGTCTTTATGGAGTGCTGGATTTTGGGTGTAGTGTCCTCAATTGCTTAAGTTGTTCAGCCTCCTTGCTCGTATGTAAAACAAGAATGGAAAAAGCCAAGGGTGCAATATGTACTGACAAGTGAAGATAAAATAAATGGATAAGTTATTTCAACTCACATTTAAAAGAGCTATATCCAGCTCGGGTGTGAAGAGCGTGTAGCAATATAAAGCTTAAAGTATGTGTGATAGGAGTCCTCCAGAGGGTGATGTCCAACACTCGGGAGAGGAAAAAATAAAAGACAACTAATCGTGCTCTCAGTAAAATAAAAATGCAATAAACATAAGTAAAATTGTACTCACAAGTGGAGTGCAGGCAAACTGCACTATGGTATCAGCGTGGGTGGTATGATCCCCACCTCAGGATATACTTGGAGTCAAACGAAGATAAAAGCAGGTAAAAGTAGGCCAGACAAAAAAAATTCCAAATATAAAAATGTGTAATTAAAAGATGATTGGCACAATCTTGTAACCAAAAAAACTTTTATAAAGAAAATTACACAATTAAAATAACCATAACACATTTCGCCACTAGGGCTTTTTCAAATGGGATAAAATAACAATAATTTATCATGTACTGAGTCCAGCTTCTGTACTGGGCCCACTTCTTTTTAATCTATTAATAATCTTGCACTAAGTCATGGTAGTCTGGTAGGATGCCACTTGTGTATTTGTTTTTTTTGTTTTTTTACAGGACTGAGCACCAAAGTAGTAGATGAGAATTAATGTGTATACGTTGAAAAAATGTTAAGACCCCACTGAATTAATAGTACACTTCTGTTGTAACAAGAATATCATGGGAAGGGAAAAGTGGTGTCTCTAGTAAACTTTTCATTTGCAGGAGTGTACAAAGTAAAATAGGACTTCTATTGAGGTTACAGTAGAAGAAAAAGTTATTTTAAAAAAAAAAAAAACACATTTTTTTGAGTGCAGCATATTTTGCTATTAAAAAAAAATCTAATACATTTTATTATTTTTGGGAAAAAAAGATTGTTCAAAATTATAGTTCACATACAAAGAATGTGATTGCCATATTGTACTCAGAAAATAATTGAATTTTAATGTTGTGGCACAATAGGAAACCATTTCCAACTGGAGTTTTTAACTTCTTTTTGAGCAATGTCAGAAATTGAGATGCCAAATGCTGAACTTGGAACTATTTTTGCTTTTTTTTGCTTTTCTCAACCTATATGACTATTTAACACTAACTAACTATGCAATTGTTTACAAAATATAGAAATGTTCTAAGCTATGCTTACTATCTGGATCATATTTGATCTAAGAAATGCACTGCGCAGAAAAAATATGTTTTATTCTGGTGAAGTAACATCTCTCTATCAAATGATTTTTCCATAGGCGGAATCTCACCAAGATGTCATTAATCTTCAGTCACATTTTGTCTGAGCTTAAAGCTTTATTTCCGGGGGGACAATTTCAAGGAAATTCATATCGAATTGTTAAACAAGAGGCTGCTAAATTCTGGACTCAAAAATTTGCAACAAAGTAAGTAAACAAAGTACAATACGAATATGATTTTTCATTAATTCCTTACTCCCATATTGCCATACAACCCTAATTTCAGGGTTTAATGCGCACCCCCTGTTAACACTATATTACAAAGTTATTGTTATCCTTTTTTTAAATTCTAACAGGTGCTTGGTGAAGTGGAGTGAATTTAGAGCAGGACTTAACACTGTACACCCGGTAGGCGACGGACCACTTGAATCCGCACTACGCAGCACTATTGACCTCACCTGTAATGACTGCATCTCGGTATTTGAGTTTGATATCTTCACACGGCTTTTCCAGGTAAAGACTTCCCAAATAATTTATCAATCTTTATTTATTCATTAAATGGTATTTAGTTTTTAAATAAATGTTATGTCTTTATTTATGCTAAAGTAATAGGAATAATAAGTAAGAACAATAAGGATGTGGCAGTCTCTGCCCGAACAGGTGGTTTTATCAGCCTCTGCTTAACAGATGATCAAACAGCAACTGAAGGAATACTTGCAAAAACATAATATTCAGGGATATATTTTTTTAATATGTGGGGTAACAGCTTCTTGATCCAAGGAGTGGAGGAAAGATACATTGAGATTTCTCTCGTTTTCAATTATGCCCTGGGTCCACAAAACATTGCGTCGATACATTATAGTACAATATTAATACACAATATATACAAAATTTAACATAGAACAGGTAGGAAATATATAATCAACCATGTCAGGTTCATTCTGTTTTGAGGTATGTAGAGAGGGATCTCTTAAAGCACTTTAGGCTTGGGGAAGATTTTAAAGTGTGCGGGAGGTCGTTCCACAATTGCGGTGCTCTGTAGGAGGAGGATCGAGCTGCTTTCTTTTTGTATTGAGGTAGACTAAATAAAGTGCTGGTACTGGATCGGAGGTTATAGGAGGTGGGAACAGCCGGGGAGAGCATTCTGCTCAGGTAGGGTGGGAGTTTCCCAGAAAAGGTCTTAAACACAAGGCTGGAAAGATGAAGGGTGAGTCTGGATTCCAGCGACAGCCAGTTTAGTTCTTTTAGCATGTCAATGTTGGGTCCTGTAATTACAATGTAGCACAAATTGGCAGAACGACTTATACAATGTATTAAGTTTATTAAGGTGGGTTTGCGGTGCAGGTGCATATACTACATCCCCATAATCAACGATTGGCATCAGCATTTGCTGTACAATCTTTTCCTTTACTGTAGGGCTTAGGCAGGATTTGTTTCTGTACAGGGCACCTAGTTTTGGATAAAGTTTAGATGCAAGCTTTTCTATGTGGAGGCCAAAAGATAGATAGGGGGTCTAACAACATACCAAAGTATTTCAAAGAGTGGTCTGCGATCAGTGTGCTATTTGAATTTGTTTTGATGGATAGGTGGGAATTGTGTAATTTGTGTAATTTAGGTGTTTGGTAGTAAGGATGAATGAACTTTAATGTTTTTGTCTGATATACACATCTAGAACATAAAGCTTTAAAGCATACAGGGTTATTCACGAACGTGAATATTCAAAGTCAGTTTACAATTTCAGGCCAAAATATCTAAATTGGAAAAATTATCTAAATCAGGTATGTTTTAAAGTTTGCCTACTTTATCTTAAAATGTGAAATTCACTTTGACTTCTCAATTTAGTGAATAGCCCAGAAAGTCATTTTTGTCAACGTTCCAAAAATGTAGAACTGTAATACACATTTTCTACTTCTTCAGCGAGAAGATCAACATAAATCTCTGTCATTAGGTGGGAATTAACTGGTAATATCTGCAGGCGGAAGCCTACATGTAAAGACTTAATTGGATTGAAGCTTGGCATGCAACGTTCTGCTGAGTTTGTATTTTGTACCTTTACAGCATTAATCATCTATAACCCCAGACTCCACGTTTACATGTTTTTAAATAAACTTTAGAAAACAAAACCAAAAAAAACAATCTGCATACTTATACTACATCTAACCTCACATAATCACCTTGAAATACAGGTTTGTCCTATGTTTATACTGTGCTAAGAATACTAGCAAAATTACTTATATGCATGCACTTTCTTCCAACCATCTCACCTTCATGAGAGATTTTCATGTGCATCATATACAGAAGATCCAAACAGAGTACCCTTTACCAAATGCTAAGCCTGAGTGGCTATCAGTGGACCAGTGAGAGGAACTCATTCCACGACAGCCTGAGTATAACAATATCTGCTGCTTAAAGGACCACAATAGGCACCCAGACCACTTCAGCTTAATGAAGTGGTCTGGGTGCCAGGTCCTTCTAGGGTTAACCCATTTTTTAATAAACATAGCAGTTTCAGAGAAACTGCTATGTTTATTAATGGGTTAAGCCTTCCCCCTAATCCTCTAGTGGCTGTCTCATTGACAGCCACTAGAGGCGCTTGCGTGCTTCTCACTGTGATTTTTCACAGTGAGAGCACGCCAGCGTCCATAGGAAAGCATTGTAAATGCTTTCCTATGCGACCGGCTGAATGCGCGCGCAGCTCTTGCCGCGCGTGCGCATTCAGCCGACGGGGCGGATCGGAGGAGGAGAGCTCTCCGCCCAGCACTGGAAAAAGGTAAGTTTAAACCCCTTTCCCCTTTCCAGAGCTGGGCGGGAGGGGACCACCCTCAGGGCACTATAGTGCCAGGAAAACGAGTATGTTTTCCTGGCACTATAGTGGTCCTTTAACTGGCATTACATTTCTTGGCGTTATGATACATCTACAGTTAATTTCTGGTGGCAGGCGCTATATCACTAAGTAGCTTGTATTGCATATGATACTGTATTCGTCTGTTTTCTTCAGGCTGTAATTCCCCAAAAATTAACACAAACAACTTTTTTTTTGGTCTTTTATTAAACTACAGTCTACATTTAACAGCTCGAATATTTATTTTTGTTTTCCAATAAGGAGGCAAGATTAATTTGAAAGTTTTTAATGGCATTTTACATTTAATCCACTGATATTTATTATTGATGTAGTTGCAATCAAGTGTTATACATAGTTTAGTATTCTGTCTTGGTTAAAGGGCATCGTAGGGAGTTGAGCTGCAACATGAACAACTGGGATGCGTGTGAACCCACTGGGTCTTTACATACGTTGTTACATTGGTATCGTAATTGAAAACCCTAGATTAATTTGAAAGTTTTTAATGGCATTTTACATTTAATCCACTGATATTTATTATTGATGTAGTTGCAATCAAGTGTTATACATAGTTTAGTATTCTGTCTTGGTTAAAGGGCATCGTAGGGAGTTGAGCTGCAACATGAACAACTGGGATGCGTGTGAACCCACTGGGTCTTTACATACGTTGTTACATTGGTATCGTAATTGAAAACCCTATGTCTTCGAAACACCAGTTGTTGTTAAACCCATACAATTATAATTGTTAAACAAAGCTCTATTTGGTCCAGCTCTCCGAAGACCTGTGTTTAGTGGATCTAAGATACTCACAAAATTTCTCCTTCTTTGTCTGTGCTGTGTTCCAACCAAGCTTGACATAACTTGGGATAATGGAAATGTGCTATCACCACAATAATAAATGTGTAGATAGTGTGGTAAAGTATAACATATACTTATCCTAATGGTAAACAGGACAGCCTCCCACTGATCACCCGCCAGATGGTGATCTTACATGAATAGGAATAGAAACAACAAAACATGGGAAATGGCTGTATAAAGAGAACACAAAACAAAAGATAGTGTGATATTGTTATAGATTATATATGTGCGCTAATAATCATTGCACTCACAGAATTGAAGATGTAAACGCATTCAAAGGGTGCCTCCCCCGATGGTGTTGGGGGCTATGAACCCACACCTCGCTCCGGATGTACTCCTTTTAAGAACAGGAATCCAGACGATGGTGGTAAAAATATATATTTGGCTTTATTTGTAAGTAAAAGGTGAATATACACCAATTAAAACAGAGGTTGATTGTTTTTAATTTTATTGGCGTATGATTATTAGCGCACATATATAATCTATAACAATATCACATTATCTTTTGTTTTGTGTCCTCTTTTAGATTATACAGCCATTTCCCATGTTTTGTTGTTTCTATTCCCATAACATGGGATAAAACTGGTTCAGTTTCTTCACTTTATATTGATGTCATAGGGATTCTTGTAGTCATTTATATCTGATTAAGGACTAGGTAGAAAGTCTAAAATTTTTTTTATGCCCATACGTAGGAAGTTTCAACACTTGAATCTGGATTTCATGGTTTTTATCCAAGCTCATTATCTAATGATAATTGATCATATTCTCAGGGTCACAGAGTCTGGAGCTGACTCTCTCATATCCTACAGTATTATATGCACAGGTTTAATGTAATGTAAACAAAGCGATTTTTCTGATCTGGGAAGTTAGTGTTTTCATATCTGGTATTGGAGATTTTGTTTTTCCACAAAATGAGTCACTGTGTAGAATCATTGTTGTGGTTGGCAAAAAGGTTAAATATCTCTGTGTTGGTTCTTGTCGTATCGTCCCATTGAATTTAAAGGGGCACTATAGTCATCAAAACAAGTTTCGCTTAATGATGAAGTTTTGATGTATAGATCATGCCCCTGCAGTCTAACTGCTAAATTATCTGTCATTTAGGAGTTAAATCACTTTGATTATGCAGCCCTACTAACACCTGTCTGCATGTGACTTTCATAAGCATTCCTAAAAGGAGAGATCTAGTTTAAACTTCCTTTATTGCACAGTCTGTTTAATTTAGAATTTTGTATTTCCTGCACCGGTTAATGCTAGACTCTGCAGGAGCCTGCTGTGCGTGATGAAAAGTCAGTTTACAGAGCAGGAGATTAAAACTTCTAAAGAAAGTTAATAACATTTTTTTTTTTTTTTAGGTAGGCTATGTCAATCACAGCCAGGGGAGGTGTGGCTAGGGCGGCATAATCAGAAACTAAAGTGATTTAACTAATAAATTGTAGAGAATTAAGCTGTGAGACTGCAAAGGCACGATATATACACCAAAACTACTTCATTAAACTGAAGTTTAACTTAACCCCTTAAGGACGGGGGACGTTCTATGCCGTGCTTAGGGAACCAGCTCTAAATGCCGGAAGGCGGCATAGAACATCCCCGCCGTCCTATGTACTTACCCGTCCTATCCCAGGGAGTTCCCCTCCTTTCTCTTCGGCCCCCCTGGGCCATGTGATCGCGAGGACCTCGAGATCACATGGACGGCATAGCCAGCAGGGGGAGTGTCTGTAATGACAGGTACTCCCCCTGCTGCCTGAAAATAAAAATAAAACAGTTTAAAACAGTGTAAAATTAAATATATACTTAGATCATATATATATGAATGATTTAAGTATATATTATTTATTTTATTAAATAATTGTACGTGTGTTTTGATATATATATTAATATTAAAATTATATATATATATATATATATATATATATATATATGAGATCTGTGTGTGTGTGTATATATATATATATATTTTAATATTAATATGTATTATCAAAACACACATACAATGAGATTGATTAAATATATATAACTATCATATATATAATATAAAATAAATATATATGTAACTACATTAAAAAATAATAAAGAAAATAAAAATGTGTAATTTCGTTCTAACTGTATTTTAAAATTAATATATATTGATATCAACATACACTTAGAACGAAATAATATATATATATATATATATATAATAATTCTACGTATATATTTATGTAATAATTTTACATAATTAGGTCTAATTACAATTTGCGGGACCTGCCTGACAACCCAGGCCAAAAGTCCAGGGAATTTAATTTGCTAGCACTATATTTAACCCTGTAACTTTCCAAGACTCCATAAAACCTGTACATAGGGGGTACTGTTTTACTCGCAAGACTTTGCTGAACACAAATATTAGTGTTTCAAAACAGTAAAATGTATTACAACGATGATTTTGTCAGTAAAAGTGAAATTTTTTGCATTTTTCACACACAAATGGCACTTATACTGACGATATTGTTGTGATACGTTTTACTGTTTTGAAACACTAATATTTGTGTTCGGCAAAGTCTCCTGCGTATAACAGTAACCCTCACGTACAAGTTGAATGGTGGTTTCAAAAGTTACAGAGTCAAATATAAGGCTTGCTTTTCAGTTTTTACACACTGAAATTCGCCATTTGCAAAAGTAGACAACCCAAGGTTTTGCAAATGGGGTATGCCCAGTCTTTTTTAGTAGCCACGTAGTCATAAACACTGGCCAAAATTGGTGTTTAAATTAGTTTTTTGCATTTTTCACACACAAACAAATATTAACACTAACTTTGACCAGTGTTTGGACCAAGTGGCTTCTAAAAAAATACTGGACATACCCCATTTGCAATACCTTGGGTTGTCTACTTTTGCTAATGGTATGCCATCATGGGGGTAATTCTCATTCCTGGGCTACCATACGGTCTCAAAGGCAACGTAACCAATCTGGCGAATTTCAATGTGAAAAAAACTGAAAAATGTAACATTCTATATTTGATCCTGTAACGTCCCAAAACACAATAAAACCTGTACATAGGGTGTACCGTGTTACATGTGAGACATGGCTAAATACAAATATGTGTTTTATTGCAGTAAAAGCAAACAGTATTATGACATTCACAGTTAGAATGTCACGTAGAACTAAACATTTTTTTGAATTCTTATTTTCTCCCATTTTTTTATATTTTATTCATATTAAATTGTTTTATACGTAAATATTTGATGTTAAATGAAAGCCCTGTTTCCCCTGAATAAAATGATATATAATAAGTGTGGGTGCATTTAATATGAAAGAGGTGAATTACGCCTGAATAGACATATAGCGCAATTTCAAGTTTTTTGTTTACGTTTTGTTTTGATCACAACGTGTACATTTGGCTCAGTCCTTAAGGGGTTAAACCTTACAGCTAGGTAAATCTAGTAATACTACTCATTCATTAACTTTCCATCTATGATTCAATCTCCCTTTTTTAATTAATTTATTTTTTTATACGCAGCCCTGGGACACTTTATTGCTGAATTGGATGTTGCTGGCAGTCACACACCCTGGATATATGGCCTTCCAAACATATGATGAGGTTAGAGATCACCTGCAAGGAAGCATACATAAACCTGGGAGGTATGTTTATATTGTTAACTATATGAAATGATTTCAATTGTGACAATTATTTCATTGTACGGAAAATGTATCGATGAAGACATCAAAAACAAGCCAGATTGCCAAGAAATACTGCACTATGTCTGGTTGTGTTGTTATCAACTTTCTTGTGTTTTAGTTATACCTTTTTCTCATTTTTCATTTCTAAAGAGACGTTTTTTTATTTTAATTTTATTAAGACAGATTTCATACTTAAAACCCCCAATGATATATGCAGTCATCAAAGTCTAATGGAATGTCTAAGGAGTGAATTGCTGTTCATCTATAAAGTGTGACTATTTGGTGCCATACGTGTAAACGCCACAAACCACCTAGTTATATAGTAGATGTTTGAATGTTAATAATAGTTTCACCTTCGTTAATCTTCAGTTACTCATCTGACCTTTTGGTGCATGTCTTTAACCTTATGGAATAAATTGCTGCATTAGATAGAACCTGTAATTCTGGTAGGTTAGGTGTATCTTCTTGATTGTTTTGGGAAACCCAAACGCAGAGTTTCTGTAAAGGAACAGCGTACATGACACACATCACATGGACAGATTACTCTGTATTTATTTATTGGTTTGGAGCCACCCATCTGGATCATTTATAGACCTGATGAAACCATGAGTCAGACTGCTGCTAGCTTCCATCTGCTAGGTGAGATTCCTGTTCTAGTTTTGTGGTTTTCAATTTTTTTTGTTTTTCACCACGGGACACTTCAAAGAGATGAACAGTTCCATGATATTGCCATTTTATAAATATCGCATTTATTGAAGCCTTATTAGAAAGATACGCATATCTCTAGTCAGACTGACTTATTACCTTTAATTGATTGCCAGGTTAGGGATAGGCCTTTCAGTGCTGACACCTGACATTTAAGGAATTGCATTCAGATTACTACAGCCCTAAAGTCAATATGGTCATGGAACACTTTGAAGTGACCCATGGAACACTGATTGAAAACTACTACTCTAGGTGCTGTTACAGGAGGTTGGGGATGCGTGAAGGGTCTGCTTGAGTTTATTTTGGAGAATGGTTGCTTCCCTGGTCAATACAACTCTATCAGAATTATTCACTAAAGAATGCAAAGAGAACTTCAAATTTAAGGCCAGAGTAGCCAAATTGAAAGCACAGCTATTTTTACTTTAAATTTGAAATTCACTTAGAATTCGCTTGAATCTTTTTCACTTTAGTAAATAACTCTCTATCATGCCTCCCAACTGTCCTGATTTTTAGATTCTATCCCGCCTTAGTTTTCTATTGTCGTGCTTCTGGGGACATCAGGGAACTGTTCCCAACAATCATAGCACGAGTGCTTGCATTATGTTTGGGGCACTAAGGCCCTGCAGGGACCATTGGAAAAAGTGTTCCGTGCAAGGCCTGCCCTGTGAGCAATTACGCAGATCTTCTGACTGAAGGCCAGCTGCCTCTAGTTTCTTTGTGAGTATATATTATCTCTTCCTTTGAAGTATTAACACTATGCTTGTTTTCCTCTCTACCTTTATTTTCCGCATATACTTTCCTTATTTGTCTTACTGGGTATGACATTGTGTTTATTTAGTCTGCTGCACATGACTATTTTGAAGTTGTCTGGTTTCTATGATAACCTATTACACCATGAGCCCTCCCGCCATATTGATACAGATGTTTGGGCACAGATATATATATATATATATATATATATATATATATATATATATATATATATATTTTTTTTTCTATTGTCTATTACTCTGTATACATGACTAAGGCTTGAGGCCAAAACATATATGATTGTTCTACCGATCCTAATTTAAACTACTTTCTATTGCACCACATTGTGAGGCAATTGGGTTTTGCATACTCCTAATGGACTAAAAATCCCTTCCAATGTACTCCAGGAGTGGTATCAGTCACTACTTGGTTTACTATCTTTGGAATTGGACCTCTAAGTTAACTTAGTCTGGTTATAAGTCATGCCCACACTTACTGAGCGTTGATGGCTACACACAGACCTGCATTATTTTATTGAGCTGATGTTTCAGTTTTGGAGGATCCTTTAAATAACAATTTGTTATACAAGATAAACCATCATTGGTCCTTAAGCGGTTAAATAATAAATGATGGATAATGGCTCTAGAACCAACAGTTTTATCTTGAATAGACATGTGAGTTTTTAAGGAACAAAAAGTTAATGTTAAATAAATAGAGAAGTCAGAATAAGAGGTGTAACTAGAAACTACAGGACCCTCGGCCCCCGCCCCTCCATTTGTATAATCTAACACATACAAATACATACACTGACACACATGCTAATACACAGCCACACAGAATAACAAACATTCAGATACACAGAATTACACTTCTACAGATACAAACACTGACGCACATGCGGATACACATACACACATACAGACAGATACACATATAGACACAGGCGTATACACATAAACAGAATGACACACATACAGATACAGTGACACACATACAGACACATAGGGGCACACACTGACACACATGCAGACAAACCGATGCACATACAGACACACGTGCAGACACACAGATACACATACAGTCATACAGAACACACAAACACAAATGCGGATATACACACACTTAATGACAAACATTTAGATACACAGAATGACACGCATACAGATATAAACTGTGACACACATATAGATACATAGGAGCACCCTGACACACATGCAAACAGATACACATACAGACATATAGATATCCATACTTACAGATACACATACAGGCACACATGCAGACAAAGATGCGCGCACACACACACACACATGCAGGCACACATATACAGACATTCACACACACATATATACAGACATTCACACACATACATACACACAGATTCACACACACATACATACATTCGCACAGAAACAGACATTCACACACACACAGATAGACAGACATTCACACACTCCAGTTTCCTACATTCAGGTCCAGTGGCTCCCTCCTCTCCTTCCCGCGCGTCTCTCTTAGCTGAGAGGAAGTGATGGCTTCCTCCCAGTGCCAGCGGGCACTCTGACATCATCACTGGGGCCCGGTCACGCTCTTAAAGCGCCCCAACGCTGACCGGGCCCCAGGTAATTCATTGCCATCAGGTGGCCTCAAGAGCATGGGCCACCCGATGTGCCCCTTCAATGCAACCCCGGCAGTTGTTTCACGCGGCCTGGGCCACACCACAATCTCGGCAGGCCCCTTGGAGTGACTGGCCCAGTCGCAGCTCCGACCCCTGCGACCGCGGTAGTTCCGCCAGCGGTCAGAAGAAACGTTCGCTATAAAAATAAAAAGAGAGTTTACTGATATACCCCATGATATAAATATTAATTTTACATATACACATTTTTAATAATATTTTTATCATGCACTATATCATTATATATTTTTTTCTTGTAGTTATATTTTCAGGTTGAGCTGCACACATCTTGGACAATGGGCAATTGGCTATGTGACATCTAGTGGCACCATTCTTCAAACCATTCCACATAACAAATCCCTATATCAAGCACTGCAAGAAGGAGAGAAAGAAGGACTGTAAGTGTTATGGAAAATACTACAAGAATTCCAATACTCATAACTGATGTACATCGACAAAATAATAGAGTAGAACAAACCAAAAACAAATCCATTTAGCCACACTTATATCTGAAAATGAGAAGCCTTCTGGAAAAAAAAATCCAGAAATCCAAACACTTGAAAACAGCTGTGATCATTGTGTATCAGAGGTTCTAGGCATACCTACTAGAATGAGAGAATAGGTCTGTGCTTTATTTATGCTATGAAACATATATCGTTCTTTTTTTTTTTTTTTTTTTTTAAAGTATGCTAAAACTGTGTGTGTGTGTGTGAATAATGGCATATCTGCCGCTTTTAATAAGCACAGTGAATTTCTGATTTCAGATACCTGTACCCTAATGGCCTGACCACAAACCCTGATTTATCCCAGCTCTCCAACCCATCTCCAAACATTGAAATTCAGGTGACACAGGTATGTACCTTCCGCACAACGACATAACTATTGCTCTTCTCTGTCCGTCTGGTCTTTCTGTGCTGTATTTTATTTTGGTTATTGTTTTGTGGACCATAGACCATGTATAACATTCTTACACCTACGTTACATCGGTCTCTGATTTAAAGTGATAAAACTGTGATTTGGAGCTTATCATTCGCAACAATATATCATTTCAGTTGGCTATATATGGTCGTGAATGGTTGAGATATGCATGGTGAAAAACGAATAAAACCAGTAGAAGATTTGAAACGTAATAAACAAAACTAATCATTTGATTGGTGCTAAATTTATGGATCAAGAATTTTATTAAGAACGATGATTACGAAATATAAGGAGAAATCATTTTTTATTGTATTTAATTTTTTATGCTTCTGGTTAACATACGATTTATTTTTTTATACTCTTTCTTTTGACTTGTTTAGTCTCATTTTGTCTCATTTTCTGTTTTTCCTTATTGCAGGAGCAATGGGAGTTATATTCCGACATGGATTCCACATTTGAAATGTGCAAAATCTGTGCAGACAACGAGAAGAATGTTCGGTTACAGCCATGTGGGCATTTAATGTGTGACCAATGTCTGTCTGCTTGGCAGGTACGTGATACATTGCTAGTAGACACAAGCAGAAGAACTCTTCCCCACCCCTTTCCGGCCCCAAAAACAAAAAAACCTAATAAGTCTTATAGATATCTCTTTAATTTTGCTTAGTAACTAGAATATGCCCAGTGAACATTTTACAGCTGAGACATGCTAAACATGAGACAAAATATATTTATATATAGATTTTCTATGCCACCACTGTAGTAATTTAGTCTTTAATTACCTTGTACAGCATGGAATGTTCACCTATTTAGCCTAGAACCCTGCCAACATTCTACATTTGTAGAATATCCCAAATTCCATTGACTTTCTAAGGGCCGAAGTATGGTTGTGATGGGTAATGGGTTAAGAAACAATACCAACACTAAAAACATTTTATATGTTTATTGCAAATTCATTGAAAAGAAAGAAAATAAATCTTTCTGACATCATGTGATTGGGTTTCCTGATTTCCTATTGTTTGAAATGTTAAGTGACTTGGTAAGTACCATAATGATGTCTGCTTCTTGCATTGGTCATTGTGAAAGGATATCCCATGTTACTGTATTACTACACAATGTGGGTTTTCAAAAATCCCTGTTGCTATAAACTTTCACTCAAAGAATTGACAGGAATAAACTTATACATTCCTATGCTCATGCAACCATGTGTACAGTGTTTGCCCGCCAGGGTTGCCAACCAAACGTTTGGAGCCTCTTACACAGCTAAAGGCCTGCCTGCCCACAGGGCCCACTCCAGAGTCCACATACAAGGATGCGGTGTGTGTGTGTAATGGATGCAGTGTGTGTGTGTGTGTGTGTGTGTGTGTGTGTGTGTGTGTGTGTGTATGTAATGGATGCAGAGTGTGTATGTGTGTAATGGATGCAGAGTGTGTGTGTGTGTGTGTTTGTGTAATGGATGCAGAGTGTGTGTGTGTAATGGATGCAGAGTGTGTGTGTGTAATGGATGCAGAGTGTGTGTGTGTAATGGATGCAGAGTGTGTGTGTGTGTAATGGATGCAGAGTGTGTGTGTGTGTGTAATGGATGCAGTGTGTGTGTGTAATGGATGCAGAGTGTGTGTGTGTAATGGATGCAGAGTGTGTGTGTGTAATGGATGCAGAGTGTGTGTGTGTGATGGATGCAGAGTGTGTGTGTGTGATGGATGCAGAGTGTGTGTGTAATGGATGCAGAGTGTGTGTGTATAGTGAATGCAGGTGGTGTCTGTTTGTGTGTAAATATGTGTGGTAAGAGGGGGGCTGTGGGTGAGCTTTTTTTTTTTTAATCTAATTTTATTTTTTTATTATTATATTAATTGTCGGAGAGTTGCTGTGGTAACCTATGGCAATTCTGTCACATTCTGGGCTTGTGAAGGGACCTCCCAGATTTGTAAGCCGGGGTCTCCTGGCCTCCCTCTTCACTATGCATGCCAGCAGTGCCTCAGGGACATATATATTGCGGTACTTACTATATATAGGTACAGTGGGAGTATGAGGGTGGCCTTGTTGCCTATTAGACGTGGACGAAAACATTTTTGTTCATTCGGCAATTTGTCCATTCTTCAAAAGGACAAATGCAATTTCCTACGAATGAAACAAAGAATGAATTGCTTGTTGGACAGAATTTTGTTTGTGCAATTCATTCTTTCGTTTGTTTTAGTTAGTACAAGGATGGAGCTACCAGCTTGCGGCTCCCTCCTTGTAATATTTAAAAAAAAAAAAAGGAATCCTTTTATGCCCCCCTTCAGTATAGTATTACAGGGGTAGATATGAACCCCATGTTAGTATGAGTGAGATTAAATCCTTCCTTCTGCACAGACCCGCTGGGCAGCTAGTAAGGGCATGTATACTGAGCAGACTGCTCGTTGTCCTAAGAAAAGTCTAGTAACGAATCTATTCAATTAAATGTGGATGGTGAAAACCCAGTCTCCCCCACAGCCACCACCCATTAGCAGTGGGTGGAGGCCCTAAATAATAAGGGACCACACTGTCTCTTGTCCCCACCCAGCCACCACCCATTGTCTGTGGTGGGTGCTAGTAATAAAAAGAATCCCCCCCCCCCCTCCAGGGACTAGGGGTCCCCAAGGCCAACACCCAACCCCCTCACCCTAATAATAGTAAGAGGGGCCAATAAACTAAATACCTGTAAAATTAAAAAAATAAATCATACTTACCATTAGACGTTTTCTTTTTTTCTTACATCATCTTTTCTTCAGCCCCAAAAGAGGCCAAATAAAAATCCATAAGGTGGCATCACACTTTTTTAAAATATAAAAAGGACCTGATTGCAAAAACAAAAAACCACAATGAAAAAAACGCATCTTCACCCATCAAGGACTTTTATGCAGACTTTATAAAGAATTTCCCATGGCGTTCTCTTTGGGTCAGAGTGCTCTGATAGGTTGACTTAAGCCAATGGATGGGGACTGTGGGGGGAGGGGGGTCAATAGATACACTGCCACCTTGTTTATTAGGGGTGCCACCACTGGTTGCAATCTGGGGGGACACTCTATCCCCCCAGTTAATTTATAAGGTGCCATTCAATAAGGACATGTGCTAGGTCCCCCTTTATTGGTTGAGGGACTTGTGTTTTTTTATAACATTGAGCAGCCCCTGGCTGTGTGTTGTTTAGTAGACATGCCCAGACTTGCAGCATAGCTGGTAAGGGCATGAGAGAGGATGTAATCTCCCTTATTTACTAATACCAAGTATTTTTTACTTAGTATTTATAAAATTGTCTGAAAGATCAAAATTAAGAAAAGGAAGGGCTTTTTGTAATTTTGGACTTTCAGCTTCTTCGTAGATGGCAATCTAATCCTCATGTGGGATTGCCGTGAGGATACTAAAAAGGATCTGTCTACTAAATAGCTCCCTAATTTGGTATTCTTAAATATGGTCGTCACACAAGGCTACCAATTTAGGGAGTTATCTGCTAAACCGCTGCAAGATGCAACTGCAGCACGGATTGGAATCATCTGAATAAACTTCCAAAACAAAAATAATGGCTGAATTTTGTCCTAAAACGAACGAGCAAATGGTCTAAATTTGCTTTGCACAAAACTAAAGTGTTTAATTTATTGTAAAAAAATTTCACTGCAGAAATCAGATGGTCTCACCTGTCCTTTTTGTCGCTGTGAAATCAAAGGCAAAGAAGACATACGCATTACTCCCAAAGAAGAGGCTGTGGAGGTAGGTACTGCTAAATACATTTCCAAATGCTAATTAGAGAAATATTTACATATATACACAGCAATGCAAATCCACATTATTGTGAGTTTCATTTCTGCAGATACTAATTAGAAATATCAATGTAACTTTTTTTTTTTTTTTTTTATTGCTGTGTGGTGCTGTGATACACACATACCTGCCAAACATATTATTATTATTATTATTATTATTATTATTATTATTATTATTATTATTATATTTATATTTATAAAGTGCCAACAAATTCTGTAGCGCTTTAAAATACAACACATATCTACTGATTTTTATTGCTTTGGCTCTCTGTGATACTCTTACACACTAGATATTTAGGTGAAGTTTGTCTGATCGGGTCAGTGGCGTACACACGATCCATGGGCCCCCCCCCGCACTTACTCTGTGCGGGCCGGGGCTGCAACACATGGCGGTAGGCACCTGGTCGCAGCCATGGTATGTACGCCACAGCATGCAGATACATACACTCAGAGCCACCATCAGAAATTTTGGGGCCCCTGACAAAGCACAAGGTGTGAGCCCTCCTTCCCTCACCCCCAGGCCCGCCCACGCCCTACCTAGTCCGCTGACAATGAATGTGGTGTGTATAGTGGAAGTGATTTAGAATGTGTGTAATGGATGTAGTGTTTGTGTGCATTAGATACTGTTTGTGCAGTGAATGCAGAGTGTGTGTTTTTGTAGCGGATGCAGTGTGTATAGTGAACGCAGGCTGTGTTTGAGTAGTGGATGTAGTGTGTGTACAGTGATGTAGTGTGTGTTTGTCTAGTGGATGTAGTGTTTGTGTGTACTAGATGAAATGTGTTTAGTGGATGCAGTGTCTGTAGTGGATGTAGTGTGTGTATTAGATGCAGTGTCTGTGTATAGTGAATGCAGAGTGTTTACATTTGTGGTGGATGTAGTGTGTGTACTGTGAATACAGGATGTTTGTGTAGTGGATGCTGTGTGTACAGTTAATGCAGAGTGTGTGTCAGTATAGTAAATGCAGAGTGTGTGCATAGTTTAGCGAATGCAGAGTGTGTGCATAGTTTAGCGAATGCAGAGTGTGTGCATAGTTTAGCGAATGCAGAGTGTGTGTGCATAGTTTAGCGAATGCAGAGTGTGTGTGCATAGTTTAGCGAATGCAGAGTGTGTGTGCATAGTTTAGCGAATGCAGAGTGTGTGTGCATAGTTTAGCGAATGCAGAGTGTGTGTGCATAGTTTAGCGAATGCAGAGTGTGTGTGCATAGTTTAGCGAATGCAGAGTGTGTGTCAGTATAGCGAATGCAGAGTGTGTGTCAGTATAGCGAATGCAGAGTGTGTGTCAGTATAGCGAATGCAGAGTGTGTGTTAGAGTGCAATGAATGCAGAGTGTGTGTTAGAGTGAAGTGTGTGTGTAGTGAATGCAGAGTGTGTCTGGGGGGGGGAGGAGGAGGAAGGGGCATTTTAACAGTAATTTTCTAATTTTCTATTAAATGTAATTAAATGTTATCCCCCCCCCTCCCTGCTTCTTACCTGTGTCCAGGGAGAGGGAGACTCCATTCCCTGGTGGTCCGGTGGCATGGGGCCCCCCCAGCTCCCTGTTACCGCAGAGGGGGCCCAGCACACTGCCTCTACTTTTCTCTTCTCTCTTCTAATAACTCTCGCAAGACCCGCGGCCTGTGTGCCGTGTGGAGCTCCTTGGCCCCCCAGGACCTCTGTATGTACGCCAGTGGATCGGGTGATGATCCTTAAACATTTTTGTAAGATTCATTGCCAAGGCAGTCTACATACCACCTGTGACTGTTGGAAAAATTAAAAAAATATATGTTTTTCTCATTATCTGTGGGGTGTAGTCATGTCAGCAACTTTGTTCACACTGTTCTCTCAATGACTGAGCAGAGTATGCACTCTGAGATTGTTAATAACGGGTACTGATCACAACTTCTATTTTATTTATCCACCCAGTTTCAAAGCTGGACTATTGTGGAGAAATAATTTATAAATAAATAAATTGGTTATTGAGATGTTTATATAGTCAAATGTAACATAAATTGATACTAAGGAGATAAAACCAGCATGATGCAATAAGGGAGCACCAATGGCAATGGAATAAAACAATTAATTAAATTATTTTGCCAATCTGTTTTGTAGTTTCTTTTTATCAATATTATTGTTTTAATAAGCCAGGAGTAAAAAAATAAAAATAATAATAAATGAACAGAGGACTTGCCAATTAAAGGCCAAAAAATGTGTCATGTGTCATGTTAGAAATATTGTATTTGTCCTCCTGAAGACTGATTACATCTATATTAGCTTCTTTGCTGATCCATTTCTGTCTAGTAGAGGTTGTTGTCCCTTACTCTCTTGCACTGAACCAAGTTGTCTATCACTCACATTATCATTGCCTTTATCCAGCAACAAACATCATCAGCATCGTCTTCATCACAATCGAGTGGTTCAGACACCCAGCAGTTGAGTCATACTGTTGATATAGAGGAGGAAGAGTGGATTAGAAGAAGACCCCTTCCAGCCCCTCCTGGGAGTACCTCCATGACCACTTCTTCACAACCCTCAGCTCCTGCTGATCCAGTGTTAACTAGAGTGCTGTGGGTTTCAAAGTCATCACCACCACCACTCCCACCTGTTCCACCACACCCACTGGTTCCACCAGTTCCACCTCGCAGATCGAATCTACAAGCATCTGATTTAATCCGTTCCAACCAAGAGACTCAACGCTTTGCAAGTGGTGTTCAAGTATCAAACAGAACCCAGTGGGCACAATAGAAATGTTCACTGCCGTCCTGTAAGGGACAACTACAATTTGGGCAACATATATCATTAAAATCTATTTTGCTCTTTCACATTCTGCTCTAAGTGCATTGCTGTTGGTTATTTAGCTATTAATAGCTAATTTTCATGATTAAATGGAATTTATACTTTTCAATGTTAATTTGTGTACCTGGCTACATATTCTATTTGGTACTTGAGCAATGATAAATCTTTTCATTTTTAAAACAAAAAGTGGTGTTGTAGTGTGTCTGACCTTCTGTTCATTAAAGGGGAAACTACTGTGCCAGAAAAATAAAGTTGTTTTCCTAGCACTATAGCTCCTTATAGTGCCCCCCACTTCCATCCACCATGGTGCAGAAGTGGTTAAAAATGGCGCTGGTTCAGGGTTCGCCTCAGCTCCTCCCCCTTCCGGCATGTGTAATTCTTTCCTGTTGGGTTTTACATGATGCTGGATGTCCTCAAGCATATGGTGAGGACATCCAGCGTCAGACGACCAAGAAGTCCCTAAGAAGACTTCCCGGAAGTCCCTCTAGGGGCTGTCTAGTAGACAGCCACTAGAGGTGGAATTAACTCTCAAAGATAATTATTGCAGTTTTTCATAAATGGCAATAATTACAATTGCAGGTTTAAGGGACCTGGGAATATGCACCCAGACCACTTCAATGAGCAAGTGGTCTAGGTGCATACAGAGTCCCTTTAAACACTGAATCGTAATGAACTGAAAACCAAATTGCCAACTTTAGGTAAAAGTAGCCAAGCTGTGACTATATGTGAATTGGAGAACTGTTCTTACAGGGTAGTTATCTAAAATCTAAACTCTAGTGAACTGAAATCTGAATGTAATCAAACCGTGCTAAGCAGTGACTGTAACCAAGTTGTAGCATGTCTCCAAATCCGCTATTGCAGCCTAAATTTTTTCATTCAGATTTTTTTGTATCACAGCTCATTGAGAAGGGAGGAAAGCAGGCACATGCTACCACAGCACATCTGCCACTTCTATTATCTCTGTATAGCTGTTCCTTAAACAAAAATCAATCAGTACCTACTATCAGCCACTAGAAGGCGTGCAAGTAGAATAAATGAAATGCTCGCTAAAGAAGAAGGCATGCAAACGAATATACAAAACAAATTATTTGGTGTTACAGGAGGTCAGGAGCAATACACGTCTCCATTAAGGTCCCATGTGGCATTGATTGCTAATGTTTAATTCATTGTTACTTTCTTTGCAGGACAATTTATGTGACCATAATCCACACTGAACTTCCTTTTATATTAAGCAAAGAGGTTAACATATGGTCGCAGACCTTTTTATCACAAGGACACCAATAAAGCAATTATTTCAGTATTATGGTTTCTTATAAAGACTCTATTACTAAGAGTATAAAAGAAACCTGAATAAATATATTAAAAATAGATAAATTCATGTAGTAATCAATTAATATATATTCTATTATAGTCTTAAAGCTAAGCTATTACATATTAATAAAAAAAGGTTTAATATTTCCTGGAACCTTTGAATGTTGGCTGCTAAATACTGTATTTGTATGTTTTCATGGCTTACTTTTATTTTATGGCTTGCTGGGGCTTTTTAGTTCCTATCCTGGGGGGGAGTTCAGCCTTTCTTCCCCTCAAGGCTGGAGTATATGACACCTCCCCAATCGTGACCACCTGCAGTACCCCCTTAGCGACCAGGGATGAGTGTTGCTGTGGACCCTGGGGTAGCAGCTGAGAGCATATGTGAAGGGTAAATCCTTATAAGGTACCTGCTGTGTGGGAATTACTTATTCCTTATGATTAGAGGCTTTAGGAGTCTGGACAGCTATGATCTTACATATTTTAGTGTTGTTTGGCTTCTGATTTGCACAGTCTTCACTTTGACAGCATTTGGTGCTCTGCAGACGCATGGCTGTTGTACTTCCGGCTATCGGACAGTTGCCATTGCAACAAGTTATATTTGGCAGTTTTAGAACTTAAAATCACTGGTAGGTAGTGGCAACAGGATGTTAGATCCTCGAAGGATTCACAGTTTGGGGAATGAGTACTTTCCACTTGCTGTTTTGAAATATATGTTTTTCGGTTAACAGTGTTGTTTCTTTTCCCTTTTGCCTTCCTGTGTTGAGTTAGCTTGGGTCTGACCCTGGAGTAATGCTGCCATGGCCAGGAAAGGAGAAAATTTGCCTCATACTTACCAATTTTTTCCTTTTACTGGTGATGGGCCACGACTGCACAATGCACCCTCCATTTGTGTGGCTAGTTACGAACTGGGGTAGCCTGGCCAAAGGGGAAGTTTTTATAGATTATTTATTTTTTCCTGTCCAATGGGAGTGGTGGGATGGAGCTTCCCCTTGATTAATGCTGCCATGGCCAATCACTGGAAAAGGAAAATATTGTTCAGTATGAGGAAAATGTTCTCCTTTCACTCCCTGTCGCTAGTACAAAGAGAGATATTTTAGTCCTGAATTAACAGGACTCAAAGCACCATATATGTGTTCTAAATGTATTTTTGCAAGACTATGATGTGGCATCTAGAGAAAGGTTAATCCTTTTGGTTTTTAGACCAGTTAGTAGGAAAGTTTTATTATCATACTATAAAATAGAAATTTTCAATAATATTGGTGTCAACTTGATCGGGTCTGATGTTTGAGTGCGCTGGAATGCTCATTAATGGACATTAAAACAAAGAAAAAAATGTGGGGACCTTACCCTAGCCTTCTCCTTATTTGTTGAGGGGTGAAGGGTAATGCTATGGAGACCACAAGATAGTCATGCCCTTAAATCCCTAAATTGCTATATGCTGCTGATGTACTTTTGTCTACAACCAACTTCAGTTTCCTATCAGGTGTAGGTTCTCCATGAAGAGCAAGACTTCACCATGAAGTACAGGACAAGCTGCAGGTTCCATACGGGTTGCAGGTCTACCTGCAGGATCAACAGGAGGTACATGTCCAAATGCAAAATCCTCAGTAGATGCAGAAGGTAGATTCACCTACAGGAGCGGAGTCAGATACCTGGTGTAGAAAAACACTAACAAAGTTGGGTAAGTCCGGCTGATTTACCTTCCATTTCTCAAATATAGCTCAATACGTTTGCATGAACTTTTCAAATGATCACAATCTGGCATTGATTCCATTTTGTTAGCTGTAAATGGTCAATGAATATCAATTTGTTTCAGCTGGTATTATTTTTCGAATTGTAAGTGGATTTAATGCGAGAAGAAATTCTAGCAGCCAATCTTGATAATCAGTGTTGGTGCAAGGATTTTTGCCGCCCTAGGCAAACACAAATTTGCCGCCCCCCATATGCTCTGCCCACCTATATAATCTGCCATATGAGCCAAACGCCAGCACTGCACTCAGTGTCTTTTCTCTGAAAAGGCAGTGTGTTTACACTAAAAAGCCTGCAGGGACATGCTATAGACACCAGAACCACTTCATTAAGCTGTAGTGGTTCTGGTGACTATAGTGTCCCTTTAATATGAGGTAAATTAGAGATTAGTGCCACTAATAATATACTGAATTGTCTATTTATCAGCAGATGAGGACAAGATGATGATGGGCTCAGGCTGCAGTTTGGCTCCACCGGTCTGGTGTTAAAACAGGCTCTCTGGAGGTAGTGCTCACAAAAATCAATGAAGAGGAACCAGTTCTATTTTTTTTGGGCCCCTTACAGGGCCTGATCATGAGTATGCCTACAAGGCCCGCCAAAAAGCCTTATGCCTTCAAAGCCCACCCATGAGTTTGCTCACAGGGAGTGGAGTATATGTGTGTAGGCTATGTGTTATTGTAGATGATGTTGTGTGTCAGGGATGTAGTGTGTGTGTGTGTACAGAGGATGCAGTGTTTTTTTGGGGGTGGGGGTGTGTGTAAGATATATATTGTGTGAATCTGTGTTGCAAGATGTGTGTTTCTGCATATGTATGTAATGCAGTGTGTGTAAGAGATGCTTTGTGTGTGTAAGGGATGCATTGTGTGCCTCTGTGTGTGTATGTGTGAGGGATGCATTGTGTGTGTGTAATGGATGCATTGTGTGTTTCTGTGTGTGTAAGGGAAGCATGGTGTGTTTCTGTGTGAGTGTAGGATGCATTGTATGTTTTGGTGTGTCTGTGTGTGAGACCCTTAATGATCTCTTTCACTCACACCATCCCTTAGTGGTCTCATCCCCTCTTCTCCCCCTGTCTCTTAGAGGTCTCCCCTCCCTTCCCTTCGTGTGTGTCCCCCCTTCCATCCTGTCCTTTAGTGATCTCCCATTCCCTCCTATCCCTTAGTGCTCTCTCATCCCCTCCTGTCCCTTACTGATCTTTCCTGTCCTTTAGTGTTCTCCCCTGCCCCCCTGTCCTTTAGTGTTCTCCCCACTCTGATGTTTGAGTGCGCTGGAATGCTCATTAATGGACATTAAAACAAAGAAAAAAATGTGGGGACCTTACCCTAGCCTTCTCCTTATTTGTTGAGGGGTGAAGGGTAATGCTATGGAGACCACAAGATAGTCATGCCCTTAAATCCCTAAATTGCTATTGCTATATTATTGCTCTCCCCTGCCCCTTCTAAATGCTCTCCCTTGACCCTTAGTGCCCCCCCGTCCCTTAGAGTTCTCCCATCTTTTGCTTAGTGGGCTCTCCTCCCCCACATATGTCCCTTAGTGGTCTCTCCTCTTCCCAAACATTGATGAATGTGGTTTTTGGCAGGGTCATGGGAATACCCATTAAATTAACATGCAGAATGGTTACTTGATAGGTCAGACTATAACTAGATGATTCCAAATTGCCGGGTCACTCAAATCTTGCACCCTCCCCGCCCCCCGGGCCAGTGTGCCCTAGGAAACTGCCTAAGTCGTCTATAGGACGCGTTGGCCCTGCTGCCGGGTCAATCAAATGTTGTGCCGCCCCCCCCCCCCAGGCCAGTGCGCCAAAGGCAAATGCCTAAGTCGCCAATAGGACGCGCCGGCCCTGTTGATAATTGGTCAGATGCTTGTCTGATAAAAGTGTTAATACAATAACATTTTTAAAACTCCCCCATGAACCTACTTTCCATGCCGCAAGCGGACAGAATGCATGCTAAACAGCAAGCAGCCAGTGGCTGCTTGTTGTGATAGACTAGCTACTAGGCAGTTGGGCAGCTATGCCTACTAACATTATGTGGGGACCTGGTACAGGTATCCCCTATACACCACTTGTGTGCATGGTGTGGGGTTTAAGATTAAAGAACGGAAGGTGGAAAGATCACTGTCGACCACTGTGCCTGCACAATGGGTCTCTAAATAATAAAGTGAGAAGGGGCATAGTATACCCCTGTGCCATCCATGGTGCTCGAATACCCACGCAAGTTTTGAGATAAGTGTGACTTACCTGTCCGAGCTCTCAACTGAAATTGCATATTATGGGAAAACCCTCTTAAGGGCTTTTCCCACAATGCAAATTCAGTCCGAAAAGATTCCTCTTTTAGCAAAGTTAGATTACATTTTTTTGGCATGGTATTCTCATGTTGACTGCTCTGTAATTTGAAAACAAAATGTATAAATATATACAATCAAAAACTTTTAAAAGATACCACAAAGAACCAATCCCAGGTCCAATGTAGATATAATGTACAGAATAATTATCACTCCTAATAATCACTGTGCCTAACCGGTCACCCTTGCAGAGATTACCAATCCTAAATACATCATCCATAGCGGAGACCTCCAGATAGATTTATATCTATGAGCAAGGACTGTCAGGTCCAAAACTCAGATATTTTCTCTTTTCCTGTGATGCAGTTCCGTATCTGTCTTATGCTAATCAAGTTTTTTTTACTTATCTGTATCCTGTAAGACATTGTTCACACAACTGACATTCTCTAAATTGGAAGGATCGATAGTTACCTACACTGTCAGGATTATTGGAATGAGGATTGTCTCCATAGTGGATCCTTCTTAGGTTCCATAGCTATGACCTAGGATTCCTTTACCTTCTTCTTGGTCCTTAGCTTAGATACCTTCAGGGAACCTTAATGTAGGTTTTTATACCATTTCATATGTCGCAATTGTCATTTTGTGACATACATTTCCTAAAATAAAGCAAATACGAACTAATGATGCAATGCTTCCAACAATCTAAACTGGTGATGAATAAACAGGATACAGGAAAACATTCTGGAACATTTATGCTTTAAAACTGAACTCGGCATAGCGCAAATATAAAGTGATGTCCTATTTAAAAAAAAAAAAAAAGCTAAAATGACTGGTTTACTGGTTAAAGCAAGCACGTCAAACTCAAAGTCTAGCACTGGCCAAATAAACAGGGTTTAAGTTTATGTGGGCCGCAAAAAAAAAAGAAAAACTAAA